CTTAGTAGTCGCTAAGTAAAAACTAGTCAGGAAATTGGTAAATATTGTTGATATAAAGGAAAGATCTATAGGCAAAATTTTGTATAGACCAATTTGACTGATTATATGGGGGGGTTGTCACCGGCGGTTTAGGGGGTTGCACCCGCGGTCGCTGGCAAAATAGCGCTAATTTCGCTCGCTGCATACCTGATGGTTGTATGGGGCCTGTGCTCCAGGCAAGCTCCCTCCATGTCTGGTCACCCCCAAGGAAAATTCCCTTCGCATCATCACTTTTCGAATGCTCCTCCGCATTGGAGTTCCATATCTTCTTCGCTGTAGGAGCGATCTATAAATAAAACATTCGCACGTGGTTAGAACGCTTATGGGCCCGAGAGAGCTACTATGCTAATATAGCCGCTATTCACGATTTCCTACACGCGCACGCGTACTAGAAATAGCCGGCAATGAATCAGCAAGCACGTGGTCAAGCACATCGCAGATTCCTAAATTATGCCACAGGTCGTGGTTGCCACGGGAACTGCACGGCAGGCACGCGACGCGCATGCCGCGCCCGTCAAATTCCGGGAGAGCTCGACAATAAGTCTGTCAATCGCAATGACAACTAATATCGTAAATGTGGCACAAACTGCGACACCAGCAGGGTGCGAAATTAACGCGAGCCCGGAGTCAAATACTCCCCGATTTACTGTCGGACTCCTGATTTGACATATATGCAGGAGTCCGTGTGACTCCCTGAAAATTCTGCTAATATTGTAACTAGTTCGTTCCACAGCACGGCCTTGCGGAATTACCGTATTTTTTTCTGCAAACCTTTAATTTTGAACTTCAGACTACAGACTCCCTCATTTTTCTGCGGACTCCCTCTTTTTGAGGGCAGGAAGTACGTTGGTCTTCCTTGTTCAAAAGTAATTTCTACCCATGCACCAGCGAGTCTAATAATCCAGCATGAGATGCTAGGGTGGGGCTTCCCATCGGACGTTATTGGGAGCATCCCCATGATCTAATCAAACTCGGGTGTGTGTGCAAATGTTACTGTAAAAAACCCATTGCCGTAATGCTGTGCTTTTAGTGAGGCGTCGCGAAAACCAGGGAAAACAGAAATCATGGTTTCTTTTTGTGTGGACCATTTACTATAAAAAAATACATCAGAGTTTCTGTCAGAGTCGTGAGCAACAGTATATATCTAAAAGTATTTTCTTTAGAGCCATTCCGTATGCACTGAACGCTGGATAAATAAATATGTTTGAATGTTCCAGACAACGAAAATAGAATATATGACGAACGCAGTAAAATTCTCAACACAAAATAATATCACACTATCATGCAAATTACCTGCTTTGTCAAAAGTTAACAAGAACCCTGTATATATATATATATATTATATCAAGAGCGGATAATATTAGCGGTATTATTAGCTCTTGATTATATGTAATCACGAGGATCTTAATTCTTCCCAACCCCAGCCAGACGTTTGTAGGATTTCCTAACCCATATAAGTGACCTTCAACCAACACAATCGTCACAGTAATTAAAATAAAAAATCCCATTTTCAGTGCCAAAATAATCTGTTCTTAAAAATCACTGCATTTTTTTAACACGGCAACTGGTACAAAACAAATTGATTATCAATGAAATGTTCAATACAAAATCATATCAAACAAATTATACAGCATCTAGGATAGGTGGGAATCACAGAAAAATGTAACCCTTCCTAACCCCTAAGAAGTTGTTGAGTCATCTTCTTGACCTACTCTATCTTTGTCTATTTAGAACAACACTGTCATCTTCACCACCAGTCACTAGAAAGTTGTTCGTGAAAAACCACTTCTTCAGCACCATAAAAAGCTGCTTTCGAAACAACTGTATTTTTGAAATACCACAGTACTGTAAGACACGATAAATTGATGTTTCTATGATATTTTAAGGCCCCGAGAGCAGGCAGGAGCAGCAGCAGAGGAATTCTACCAATGTATAATGATAATCAATAACATTGACAGCATTTTCAGTCTGGATGTATGGTTGGCCGCTCTGAACTACTCTATGGTTGGCCGGTTTGAACTACGAAAGAATTGACATGAATATTTGTCAACAGCAAAACGCAAATTAGTAATCATTCTGCCAGTAAAAAAAAAGTACAGTACGCTAAAAAATGACAACCTTCCAAAACGCATGACCGTATGGCATACAAACCATATATGCAATGGGCAAGCACGGCAATCCACGCAAAACGTACCACCTAGTCGTGAACCCAAATATCGTGATCAGAATCGCTAGCACGACTTCACGAGAGCTCACCCCCCCCCCCCGAATGCTCACGCTCCCCAGACGTCGATAGAGAGAAAAAAAGCATCGCTCGTGGACGTGTCTGAATGAGATGAGAGAGAACCTGGACAGGAGGAGGAGGGGGGGGGAACAGCCTACTACGTAACTACGACGGGGAGATCACACTAGGGTTATTGACCGTGCCTGGCTGCCAGCAGCAGCAGCAGCAGGCGTGCACAGTACACGCGACGACAGTACAGCCAGCACACTCAAGACAGTACAGTGTGAGAGAGCGAGCGCGCGCGCACACACGCGTACGGTGAGGTCTGCCGGTGCCGTCTCGGTGACACTGTATCCACCTACTTAAAGTGAGTACGTCACCGTAAATAGTAAAAGTAAAGAAAACATTTCCACTTTTCCACAAAATGTAAGTAATTCTGTTTACGTTTTATGGTTAAATTGCTGCATTATATACTTCCTATTTTACTATATTGTATATATATTGTTCGATGTAAACATAAACTCGTGACTCATACATGTAGCCAATAGCAAGCAATTAATGTTAGGATCATATTTATCAAATCGTCCAGGTACATTCGATTTTTAACTAGTTGAGAAACAATCTTATCAGGTAACAATTTGACGATACATTTAATACCGTTAGTACTTACATTTAATGTAAAAAAATGGCACAAAAATAAACACCTGAAAATTCGTAACGTAGTCAATTTAATCCACGTGTGACAAATCTCCTTCATCCCTGCATTAGCGGTGGGTTTGCGATCGTACGCACCAACCATCTCGCCGTTCGTAAACCCTCCCGCGGGGGAGTTTACTAGAGCCTTTCCGGAGACTTACAAGGGCGGCACTTTAGACAGATACAGTTCGACGACTGCACTTGTCGTATCGTGCAATCAGCGACTGATGAACGAACTCTCGTGCGAAGTGAATTTTATTGTCTCGCGGATAGTCCAGACATGTACGCGTGAACACTCGATTTCGATGACTATCCGACTTGCCAGCACCACGTCTGGTTTTTCATGATGTTATGCGACGATAGCCTTAATTTTCACGAATGCTCGATCGACGAAATTTTGAAATCCGAACACATTCCAGATTTCCAGGGCCCAGACGAATTATCCATCGCCGTGTGGCGGCACGAACACGATCCGAATGAGTGAAAAATCCTCTAAGATTGTGCCGTCTGAAGCGCTGCAGCAGCAACACCCCTCGACAAGTTTCGACGGCTCATATTTCTTTGCCTCATCATATACCTGCTTCTCAGCATCACGATTCATCATCGACTTGCTACTGCTAATTTCATAATTATTAGTACAAAGACCTCTTTCGAATATTACACACACAAAAACTTCGGCAAAAAAAGTTCTCATTTTTTTTTAGATCGTACCTGTGCGATATGTTCTATGTATACATGTATGCAGTCATCGCGAATGTGCAGCGAGGCAGGTGTGGAAGTTTGTTTGTTCTCACATACTCCAAGCTGCTCACAAAAAACTTACTGATTGCAATGCCAACTTCAAGACAAATAATATTTTCGAATGATATAGAACATCTAACATGCCATACTAAACTCCCGCAATCAACTAGCACAAATAGAAACACTGTTTCTACACTGTTTCTACATACCTAAAAATTAATATGTACACAGAGAATAGTTTGATATTTATTTATGTGATAATAGGCGCGTTCACACACAAGAAAAACCGCGATGCTAATCGCGATGAAATACCGAGATAATTGTGTCGTTGTTCACACAGGCGGAAATATCTCGCTAATCGCCGAGCGGGATAATTCTATTAATCGAACTGTGCATGCTCACGGCCGGAATGATGCTCACTGCGCATGCTCACTGCCGGAATGATGCTCACTGCGCATGCTCACTGCTCACTCGCTTGGAATGATGGGATAGAAAATACCGGGATTATTTGCGCGAGCGTTCACACACGCAAATAATCGCGCTAATTCCAAATAATCGCAGTAAAAAGTGCGATTTGGAGCGCGATGCTGATCGCGATTATTAATGAGTATTATTGCGTTCACACTTGTAATAATCTCGGTATTTCGATCGCGATGCAAAAACCGGGATTTGCATCCCGCTTTAATATTCGCGCCAATGTGAACGCGCCTAATATTATCAGGCAGCCGAAAAAGTGGGGATGGGAGGGAAGCAACAGCCATTTTTTTTGCTGTGCACTGTTCAGTCGTTGCCCTCTGATTACCCCCGTGTTTTTAAAAAAACATCACAGGTATCGTTCCAATGATGCCAATCAATAACGAACGATCAGCACAAACACAGCAATCACAAGACTGCTGTGCACCGGGGCAACAAGAGTTGACATGTTTGCTTTTCTTTCCATTTCAACATTTCAGACGTTCCAAATGACATGTTCTAATAAATTGAATTGTTGAAAATGAAAGGAGATGGCTAGCCCAGCTCATTATACACTTACCCCCTCTGGTGGTCGGATAACGACATTTTTCACTTATTCAAAATACAAAAGATGGCTGGCTATTCAAGTGATACACATTAATTGTATAAAATACAGCACCAGACGCACAGTACTTTCTTATACTAGATATCTCTTTCGTCTCAGCCAGACCCTTTTTTATGCATTAAATTCTTTATTAGCTCAATAAACAGAAGTCTAAGAACTGATATCTGAGGGAAACCAGGCCAGTCATTTTTTAAAGGGTCAACCCAAGTGAAAAATACGGGTTATTACAGGTTAACCCTTTCACTACTAGGATATATAGCATCCAAACATTGGATTGTAAAAATCAAATATGAAATTTTTCTTTACTAATTTTTTACCGACTGCAAACAGGTTAAATCTATAAAAACGTATCACTCATTACAAGATTCGTGATCATTACCAAATGTACTCATAGTTTGATCATGTATTTAGCCATTTACCCATATCTCGTAAATTGACAATGTCAATAAATAACTCACTCTCCCGCCTTGCGTTCCAATACGCTGGCAAACAGTATGTCTCCATTGTCTGCATTGTCTGCATACCCGAATCATGAATCACTCACACG